CAATTGTTAAATTTAACTGCGTTGTGTGAGGTTTTGCTCTTAACCCTGTGATGTTTTTTAACTGGCTTTGTTACTTTTTCTGTTCAGTTTCATCAACAGGAGAGCCGTAGGTATCTGACAAAGAATGACACAGCTGGAGCAGATGTGGACACAAATGTGCGACTCCTGAAACAAAGAGGCCGTACACAGCGATCCTTATAGAGTGAGCCATGCAGGATGTTCGCTACTCTGTCAAACCACATGAGCACGAAACAGCAGGTTTGTTTTCTGGCAAAATCAGCTTCTGCTCAGAGGTGTTGTCTTCAAGTGTCTCTTCTGTGGTGTGTGTTTTAAGCAGGTCTGTAAATGCTCTTTCTTCTGAATGTTTTTACAGGCAGAGGAAGCTATCAGAGAGTTAAAGGAGACCATGCAAATGGAACATGCTCACATGAGGCTGCCTTGCCCAGTAGGAGCGTGGTGTTCACCTGCTGGTGCAGAGCCCTCATGAAGTCCACACGCAGGGAACAAAGGCTGTGGGGTGAGTGCAGTGAGCACCATTCCCTCAGGCCCCTTCCCCAGCACCCCTCATTTTGGCTGTGCAGGCAGGAGTTGCTTGTACCTGTGGCCAAAAGGTGAGATGAAATAGAGGCAGCAGTGGACATGGTTGTCCTGTTGAGGCCACTTTCATCACGGAAATACTGCTTGAACTGGTGGTCCATGTAGTCTACCACTGGCTCAGAGAGCTGAGTTGTGGGGACAGGGGTGTGACTGCTTGAGTTCCCTGTGGGATCCCCAGGATTCCCAGGATCCCCAGCTCAATGCTTGCCGTGGTTCAAGCATTGCAGACTGGCAACCTATGGGCATCCCACCCTCGGAGCTGCTGGCACCCACGGTGGTGCCGCTCAGCCCTGCGGAGAGCCCCACAGTGCACACCAGTCAGTGGTGTTGACAGCACCACTAAAGCCTGGTGTGTCCACAGTGGTCAGCACAGTTTGACTCTCTTCTCGATGTTCACCACGTGGTGGATGATCACTGTCTGCGTGATGTGCTCTCGCTTGTCCTTTCCCCTGCCCAGCATTGAGGGTCTTCTGCAGGGTCCCCAGCAAGCGGCCCGATGACACTGCGTGCAGCAGGCACATGCCATCCCATCGCACAGCTCCATTCAGCTGGGTGAGGGGCTGCCCATTGTCTCAAAGATTGGTATGAGAAGCTGACGTCCATTGTCTGAGAGATGAATGTGAGGAGCTGCAACAAGACTCCACAGTCCAGACTCCACAGTTACCTCAAGGATTAGTGTGCGGAATTGCCATCCCATATCTCCATGATTGCTGATTGCAGTTGAAGAGCTGGCTGCAAGACCAATGAAAGTGGATGCACCTGATCCACCAGGAATGTACAGTACTTGAGATTAAGGACAGAGATATTCCCCCCCCCACATAATTCAAAGGGGGAAAAGGTAATCACTATGTGGCCACCCACCTCTGATGACAGATACTGACTCTAGGGGACACCCACCACCGAAGATGATGACTTGGGACAGTGGTGACTGTCTTTCTCTGCACCCTCAATTCTTGCCTAATTTCTGTCCTTTCTTCCAGTCTGTCCCATTGCTGTCTTTTCTATAACAATCTTCTTTTGTAATAAACCAATGGATTATGGTACTTGACCTCACATCTTAATTTCATTCTGGCAATCACGAACAAAGTATTTCTGACACAGGGTTTTTCGCCAGTCAGACCTTGACACCCTTCAGGGGCATGAGGACATGGGTGGCACATGCCAGATGCTGCCCCAGCACCCTGTAGCACCCACCCTGAGCCTGCTGTGCCAGGGAGCAGTGCAGAAGGAGACATCCTTGGGGGGAACACAGGGACATGACACACTGCTTTGTGGGAAAGCAGCACCGATGGGGATACATGGCAGTGATATACTGGGAAGCAAATTTGCTGATATGAAGCTGGGGCAGTGGCTGATACACCTGAAGTTGAGCTGTCATTCAGCATGAACCTTGATAGGCTGGAGAATTGAGCAGAGAGAAACCTGATGAGGTTCAATAAGGGCAACAAGTCATACACCTGGCGAGGAAGAACCTCAAGTTACCAATACAGGTTCAGCTGAAAGTAGTTCAGCTGGGAAGAACCTGGGAGTACTGGTGGATGGTAAGTTGACTAGGAGCCAGCCCTTGACCCAGGAGGGACAAGAATATCCTGGCATGCATCAGGAGGAGTTTGGTAGCAAGTCAAGGAAGGTGATTCCTCTCCCTCTACTTGACCCTGGTGAGGCCACACAGGAGCCTTGTGTCCCATTCTGGTCTCCTCAGTAAAAGAAAGTCAAGGAGGTACTGGAGAGGGTCTCCTGGTGGCCACAAGGATGATCAGGGGGCTGGAGCATCTCATCAGGAGAGACTGTAGGAGCTGGGCCTGGTAAGTCTATAGAAGAGCAAACTGAGAGGGGATCTCATCAATGCAGGTCTGGGTTCCAGGGGGATGGTGCCAGACTCCTTTCAGTGGTAAGCAGTGACGGGCTGAGGAGCAATGGTAATAATTTAAAACACAAGAAGTTTCACTGCAACATGAGGAAGAACTGCTTTCCATTGAGGGGGGCAGAGCACTGGAACAGGCTGCCTAAGGGGGTTGTGGAACTCCCTGGTTGGAGACATCCAAAACCCACCTGGAGCCACTCCTGTGTAATCTGCTCTGGGTGGCTCTGCCTTGGCAGGGGTTGGACTAGGTGATCTCCAGCCATCCCTTCCAACCCTGATGATTCTGTGACTTCCCAGAGCAAGCTGTAACATGTCTGTTTTTAACTGGAATGTGCCCAGCCTTGCCTCCTCATTTCCCTGCCTTTTCTTGGCTCGTTTCCCATGCGAGTGCTGTATCAAGGTCAATTCAACTGTCCTGGCCAGGCTATTCCTGTCGATTGCTTTCCCTCCTACAGGCCACCACCTGCATTTTCATGTGCTGGTTGGTTTTCCTTGGTCCTGGTCTCTCTTTCCCAACCGTTGCTGGCAGGATGCTGGGATCTCTTCACCAGCACTCGAGCTCAGAAATGCTGCGCAAAAGCTGAGGTGCTGGGTGCAGTGCTTGCTCTGCAGGGAATCGGACTCTAGAACTCAAGGAGTTATAAAGCAGGTATGTTTATTACAGCCCCCAGTGCAAAGGGGATCACTCCTCCTAACTTGCACACCGAGGGATTAAGCAAGCAGATATTTGTTACATACAAATATGCATATTCATTAGGTTCCCGAGAGAGCGTTGGGGTTATTGCAGTTAAATCTAGGAACTTATCATCCTAAGTCTCCTCCTTTTGGTGCCTGTGCACTGCCCTGCGGTGGTCGTGGGCAGGGGACTTCAAGATGAAGTAAGCAGTCTTCCTCACAGTGCACTTTTCACCTTTGGCACAGTTGGATGCCTCAGTAATCACAAAGCTAGCAGAAACTAACCACATCTGTCACTTTCTGATAGCTACCAGTTTAAAACAGTATGGCCTTCGTACAAAATTTACTGCAAGCAACACAGGACAGGCAGACAAGGAGTATCCGAAAGCTAGCGGGTGTTAGGGAGGCACTGTCTCCAAACTAACCGGTAAGTAGAAGGATGCTTAAGGAATAACTCACTCATGTTAGTAGGGCTACTGAATTCTGTTATCACACCACAAACTTACAATGCAAACATTGTTCTCTATCTTAGACTTAATTAAGCTAAAAGTATTTTAACCCTATGTTTTCCAGGCACTTGCTTTCCTTGTATCACACCCTCATGATAGACTTTGTTTCCCCGATACCGCACAACGTGCTCCTTTACCCCAGATCTGTCGGCGTTTCACAACCGCGGGTTATGCCCAGTCCCGCCCCCAGCCCGGCGGAGCTCCTACAAAGCGGTCACTGCAGCGGATGCACCGGGAGGGAAGGAGCAGCCGTGAGCGGCAGGATCATCGAGGTACCGGGAGCCCTGTCCAGCTCACGCTCTTCACCCTGCTCTGGTCTTTGGTCTTTTCCCCTTTAACTTGCGCTCTTGCCAAACAACCTCCTTCCTCTCTTGTGCTCGCTAAGCGCCTGCCTGCCGCTAATGGACGCTGCTCTGGTTCCTGCCGCTTCCTCCGTAGGCACCGACACGCTGCAACCAACTTGCCCGGTAGCGAAGCCCTTTCCAGCCGCCGCCGCGGAGACGCTCGTTTCTCCTGCGGCCACAAAACGGGGCCGAGGCCCTATCGGGGGAACAGAGCTGGGGGGTCCGGGCCGTACGGGGTAGGGGGGGCAGAGGAGCAGTCCGGTACCGGCGGGGTCGGGGACAGATGCACTGCTGCTGCTGCAGCGCCGCGGCCGCCTCCATTCTGCGCCCGCCGGAGGGGGTGCGGTCCCCCTCGCTGGCTCTCCCATTGCGCCGCCGGGAGGGGTGGAGGGCGCGGCGCAGCCAGAAGCAGACGTGGGTGAGACCGGGGGCGGCGGCGGCGGGGGGCTCGTCTGGGCTAGGCCGGCGGTGCGCGGGTTCGCCTCAGCCCGATTGGTGCTGGAGGAGCCGGCTCGGGGTCCCTGCGCTCGGGGCCGGGGTGCGGGGAAGGCTGCCGGCCCTCGGCTCCGCCCGGCGCCCCTGCTGCGCACTGCCGCTTACTGCCTGCTGGTGCTGCTCAGAATCACAACGTGCAGCGCATCACTGAGGGTTTGAGGAGGATACGGCGGAACTAGGGCTGAAAGAGAGCAGACACCAGCCCTGGAGCCGGGGGGTGGGGTTGCAGTGGGCAGATGAGGGGGAAAAGAAGTTTTGCCTCAGCATGAGAAAGAACTTTACACGGAGGGTGGCAGAGCACTGGAACAGGCCGCACGGGGGGGAGGTTGTGGAGTCTCCCTCTCTGGAGACATTCCAAACCCACCTGGACACGTTCCTGTTTAACCTGCTCTGGGTGGCCCTGCCTTGGCAAGGGATGATCTCCAGAGGACCCTTCCAACCCTAATGATTCTGTGATTCCATGGCCAGTGCTGGAGGGGAAAACCCATTCCCACCTGCAGGAGGAAGCCCTGAAGTGAGCTGGGTGTTGTTGCTCTCTCCTTGCAGCGCTGAGCAGCCATGGAGAGGATGCAGCAGGTCGTTGGGCGGGCGAGAGCTGCCTTCAACTCTGGCCGGAGCCGCGCGCTGGAGTTCAGGATGCAGCAGCTGAAGGCCCTGAAGCGGATGGTGCAGGAGAAAGAGAAGGACATCCTGGCAGCCATCAGGGCAGATCTGCACAAGGTCTGGGTCAATGGGGTTCTCCTATCAGCCGTGCACAGACAGTGGTCAGCCTGGAAGGGAAAGCGGGAAGGCCAAGGGCTGCCTTTGCTGTGCCACATGTCTTTGGCTCATGTCTCCCATGGTCCTGGCTCTCACCATGTCCTGCCAAGGTTTGCTGCCACCATTTCTAAGGAGCTAGTCTAAGGCAGGATTACAGAGGCAGGTCCTGGCTTTTGCCGCACCCTGAGCCACATGCACCCAGACTGTCCTCTGTCAGGGATCCTTTGGGGCAGCACTACCTGCATCAGACACTTTTGAAGCAGCAGAATTTGCCTTGCTTCCCTGGGCTGCTGGAGTGAGTGCCTTTGCCATCCCCTCCCCAAGCTCCCTGTCTTTGCAGAGTGAGCCCAATGCATACTGCCATGAGATCCTGGGCCTGCTGGGAGAGCTGGCCCTCGTCATGGACAAGCTGAAGTCCTGGGCAGCCCCTCAGCCTGTGAAGAAGAACCTGCTGACGATGCGGGATGAAGCCTACATCTTCCCCGAGCCACTGGGGGTGGTGCTGATCATCGGGGCCTGGAACTACCCCTTTGCTCTGATTATCCATCCTTTAATCGGGGCCATCGCAGCAGGTGGGGACCTGCCACAGCCCCTGTCCTTCGTGGGGCCATGGGTGGGTGCCGCACCGTGAGAGCTCAGCGGCCATGCTGCATTTGTCTTGTAGGTAATGCCGTGGTGGTGAAGCCGTCGGAGATCAGCGAGAACACATCTCAGTTGCTGGCTGATCTTCTCCCCCAGTACCTTGACCAGGTGAGTGTGGCCCCGTGCCGGATGTGATTGTCTCGAGGTAATGTTATGCCTTCAAAGGGTTCCTGCAAGTTAGAGCCATATCAGTTACGATAAAGGAAGGGGTGAATGACTCTTAGTGTACAGATGCATATTGATGTGTTCTACCTGCCTTTGCATAAGCTAACATTGCATAATGCTGCTGCAACACAACAGCCTTCTTGATATTCACAACCATGTAAAGAGCTGTTTGTTTACTTCACACTGCAGTGATTGCTCATTTGGACGCTGGGCTGGGGACGCCCCTAGATAAGCACAAGATTGTCTTTGACGCCGGCTGTGCCTGGCTCTCCCTGAAAATCAGGCACTTTTTGCTCAGTGGCAGAAGTCCTGAGTTTTTCTGTCCTGATCCACACTCAGTGTCTGGCAGTTCTGACATCCACCACGTTGTGTCACCGAGACACGCTGTTGCTCTGACAGCACGGCCCCACTGTGAAGTTGTCAGGGAATTAGTGTTTGTGCTAGGCAGGGAGCTAGAGCTCAGGAAGGAGTCATCTCAGGAGAGCCTGGCGATCAGACATGCCCAAGGTTTAATGTATGGGAGCAGCTCTAGAGCCTGACTCAGCCCTGGCCTCAATTTCCGTTTCTTGTGGTTCATGTGCACAAACCGGCAGGTGAATTTCACCTCAGGGAAGGAAGAAGATCTCGTCTCTGTTACCACTGTCTTTTCTCCAGCTCCTAATGTAGCTTACAAGTGAGTCTGCCGACGTAGACCTGCTGCCTTGATATACGTGCTTTACATAAGGCTCTTCTTCACCCCACAGGAGCTGTACCCTGTGGTCACTGGGGGAGTTTCCGAGACAACAGAGCTACTGACCCAGAGATTCGATCACATCCTCTACACTGGCAACTCCACAGTGGGCAAAATTGTGATGGCAGCGGCCGCCAAGTACCTGACACCCGTCACCCTGGAGCTGGGTGGGAAGAGCCCCTGCTACATTGACACAGACTGTGACCTGGCTGTTGCCTGCAGGTCAGGCTATTGAAGCCCTTGGCAGGGTCTCAGCAGTAGGGCAGGGACCCCGTGGGGCAGGTGGACATCTCTGGGCTATTGTCCTCAGGCCAAGGGTGTCACTGGGGCACAATCAGCTGGGCTGTGGGGTCTGCAAAGGATTGACCATGGAGAAACCATCTCTCTTTTCCCCGTAGGCGGATAACATGGGGGAAGTATATGAACTGTGGGCAAACCTGCATCGCCCCAGACTACATCCTCTGCAACCCATCCATCCAGAGCAGCGTGGTGGAGAACATCAAGGCAGCTCTGCAGGTGAGTGTGGAGTTCCTGATGCTGTGGGAGTTACCCCCGTTACAGCCCAAGTCTGAGTTCCTGGAGCTGCAGCCCTAGAGCTGTGGCTGTTGTAAGGGTCTGTGGAGAACTTTGGTTCTGCTGTGCCTCTTGGCAGGAATTCTATGGGGAAGATGTGAAGTCATCTCCAGATTATGAAAGGGTCATCAACAAGCGCCACTTCAGGAGGATCCTGGGCCTGATGGAAGGGCAGAAGATTGCTCATGGGGGAGAGGTTGATGAGGCCTCCTGTTTCATAGGTGCTTCTGGCAGCTGGTGGGGTGGGAAGGTGAAGGGTGGGTCCTTCTGCTCTGGCAGTGGGTGCCTTTTGGGGGCTGCATGTGTCTGTGGCTTGCTTGGGGTATGTTCAAAAGAGGCATTGCAGAGGATGAGGTACTGTGGTGGACTATGTTTTCTATCCTGCTCATGCCGTCTTCTGCTGTCCTGTTTTCTCCAGCACCAACTATCCTGACTGATGTTTCGCCGGAGTCAAAGGTGATGGAGGAGGAGATCTTTGGACCGGTCCTTCCCATTGTGACTGTGAATAATGTAGATGAAGCCATTGAGTTCATCAACCATCGGGAGAAGCCGCTTGCCCTGTATGTCTTCTCCAACAGCAAGAAGGTGGGTCTGGGCAGTGCTCCCCTGCAGAGGTATCTCTGCACAGTTTTATCCTGGACATGGCCAGTTGCAGGCATGGCTCTGTGCAGGGCCTGTGTTGGCACATGAATTGCAGCGTTTGGCTCATGGGGGACCACAGTGTCTCCAGAGCTGCTGGAGGCTCCCAGTCTCTTGCTGAAGTGCTTTGCATTTGCACGGCTTTGTGAAATAGAAGGATAAAATGCTGGATTTCCTCTTTGGTGCCATGGACTCTTAATACATTGCTCGGGAGGCAAGCTCCCAGGTTTCCATCTTTCCTAGCCCTGCTCTTGAGCTTTCCCACTTGAGTTAGCATTGCATGGGGGGGCTTGTTTGAGTTGTCAGCCAAGAAAACTACTGAGGAGAGGAGAAGGCGCTATGGCCTCTTGGCATGTAACTCCCTTCCCAGTCCTGCTGAGTTACATGGTCTTGTCTCTCCTGAGCCTTTGCAATGTTTTGGTTGTTTCTTATTTGCTTTTGCCAGTTAATCAAAAGAGTCATCTCGGAAACCTCCAGTGGGGGTGTTACTGGAAACGATGTCATCATGCATTACCTACTCTCAACCTTACCCTTCGGTGGAGTTGGTAAGTTACTGGAGGAAGGGTAGGCCTTCAGCTTGGTAACGTTTGGAAGAGGTTACAGAACAGCCCACAGGAGCTTTGCAGGAGGAATTTTGAGTGTTACAGTGCTCACAAGCTGACAGTGACTCAGCAGTGTTCTGCTGTGAAGAGCACATGTGTTGTCCTGATGTTGAAAAACAGAGGTATACCCTGCTAAGCTCTTCAGGACACCTTTCTCCCACAGCACCAGTCAGATCTCAAAGCCTTAGCAAGGCGCTTTGTAAGGGAGCTAAATCCAGGGAAGAGCTGGATGCCCAGCAAACAGGGCACACAGGACCACAACAAAGTACTGGAGAGTGTGCAGTTAGAACAAGATGGGGAAGAAGAGGAGTGGAGTGCAAATGGACATCTTGGAGACTGACAAATGCTGCAGAGAGGAAGGATGAGTTGGCTCCTGTGCAGGAGCGTAGGGGAGGAGCTGTGCTTTTGAGCTGCAGCAAGGCAGATGTAGGACAGGTAACATGCAGTGCAGCTGGCAAGCAACTTAAATCTTCCTGAGCTGCTGCTTTCTCTGCTGGTGGCCTCACGTGGCCAAAGGTCTGACTGGCCAAGCCTGTGGTGTGACTGCCTGGGTTGTCCCCCTCAGGTAACAGCGGGATGGGTGCCTACCACGGCAAACACAGCTTTGAGACCTTCTCCCACCACCGCTCCTGCTTGATCAAGGACCTGAAGATGGAGAGTACAAACAAACTCCGGTACCCACCTGGCAGCCAGAAGAAGGTGAACTGGGCCAAGTTCTTCCTCTTGAAGCAGTTTAACCGAGGTCGAATAGGACTGGTTGTCTTGGTCCTGCTGGGGATTGTGGCAGCGCTGGTGCTAAAGGTGAGCTTTGCGTCCTTGCCATCTACGTGAGTGCACGTGTAATTCACCTGATCTTCTGGACTTTCAGTCTTTGCAACTGCAGCCCTTTCTTAGAGCCTGGCCTGTTTTTTTCCTGTCCTGAGACTTTCAGTATGTGACCCGCCTGAAACAATCAAAATCTGCTTCTCACTCTTGCAAGTGGTACCTAGAATAGAAATGTCCTAAGAGAGCTCTTCTAGGCTGCCTGTTTGTAGCTCTGCTTTGGTAGGTGATAGGTGAGAGAAGCTCTCTCTAGAGGCAGGGTTGGTCTGCTTTGGTCAGGTTAGGAGTGGTTTCAGTTCCAGGGCTTCCTTCAGCAGCACTGTGAGCTGCTCTGCAGCCTAGCCCAGACTGCTGCCATTTTTTGTCATGTTGCCCTGGGACAGGCAGCCTATGTCCTAAAGCTGAGCTTCACAGCAGGCCCATGTTCTGCACCCGGTTGCAGCCCCCATCTGAGCTTAGCTCAGCTATTTTCCTTTCCTGCCCTGTTTCCAGCTGGGTACTGCAGAAGCGTGGGCTGTCCTCGCCTTTCTGCAGGGGGCAGAAGCCTGCTGGTGCTGGCTGGAGGACTCGGGGTGCCCCCTGAGGTGGAGCAGTAAGAACTAAAACCAAGTATGATCCCTGTCCCTGTTTGTTCTCTATGGCTGGCAGACCATGTGCACTATGCGTGCTTGTGCTGGCGGCTCCTTGCAAGGCTCAGCTGTGCATCCTGAGGGCTTACTAAGTTTAAGGGAGCAGCTACTGCCGCACACAAGGTGGCAAGGTGGATCAGGACTCTGCCCTTCTATCTGTTTTGCATGTTACTGCTGCAAGGAGACGTGCAGGAGCCCAGCAAGCCAGCGGAAATAACCTGCATGCTTATTTGAGTTGGGGAGGAGGTGTAAGAGCCAACAACTGCCTTGGACTTTGAAGCACCAGCTAGGGAGGCAGGCCCTGTCTAGGTGAATGGCTTCTCAGTGAAGGGGGAAACTCACGGCATCTCCAAATCATTTGGGTTTTCTCAGAATCACCAGTCTGTGCTGAAGAGAAAAGCCCTCTTGATTGTGCTGGCTGTTCAGAGGCTGGGCTGGCTCAGTGTGTGATAAAGAGGAGCAGGTTTCAGAGCACTGCTGTGGCTGTCACAGTGAGGTAGGAGCCTTTTTCTTCTCCTGTGTGTAGACCTGGTTTTAGTTTGGGCAAAGCTCTGTTAGAATAGTGAATGTGGGGCTTGGAGGATGTTCTCTGTGGAGCCAGAGAGTGATGCTTCCCCCTGGCAGTGCTCAGAGCTCGTACAGCACCCAAGATAACCAGTCTATGCATGCTGAGGGGCAGGAGACAGGTGAGCTGGACCCTGTGGATGTCACCCTGGGTGAAGGGTCTCTGCTTCAGGCTGTTCTGGAAAGGGAATTGGCTTTGTTCTAGCCAATCCTTCACAGAACGTTGGTCTTGTGTTTTGCTTTTACAGATGGTTTACTACTGAGGAGAAGGTGCCATGTCCAAGTCATACTCTTGAGTGCTCACTTTGTGTCTGTTTCCTTAATCTGAGAAGTCCTTTTCTTTTCTGGTGGGTTATTTCAGTGAGCTGTGGAGCACACAGAGTAGCCTTAGCAAGGCACTAACCAAGGGAAGGCTTGGACTCCTGTTTACTAAACAGCCATGCTGCAGCAGACGGACCAGTGGGTGCAGGCTCTCAAAAGGAGGACTGCAGAACAAGAAATACCATTCCCTACTTCCACCCCTGCCATGCAGAATGCCTCTTCCAGGAATATGCACAACGTGTCTTGCACCAAACTGCTTACATTGCCTCAGTGACAAACAGGAGCTTGAGTTTCAGCTGTGAGGGGGTTGATGGTATTTTCCCTGTGGGTTTTTGGGTTTGTCTGTCTACTGTTACGTTCTGAACAACCACCAGCTTGGTGATGAGTCTGGGACAGGCTGTGCTAGCTGATGCATTTGACCAATGGTTATGAATAAACCTGAGTTTCCCCTCACTGTTCAATTGAAGTGAAATATTCATGACCCCTGCAAACCAGAATCCTGCACAGCAGGTATTACAAAGATGATACTTGCACTGCCTGTATTCCACTGATAAATGTATCTTATGCTCCTGCAAAAGAACTTTGAGGCCTTAGAGTAGTTTAGAGAAGTGGGAATTGCAAAGTGCCCGGTTTAAGTGAGGTAAATTTAAAGCTTATCATTAAATGCAATATATGGAGTAGAAAATTACAGTGCAATAGGTTGGATTTCTTCATGCCTAATGGAAGTCCATGCGCCAAGCCTTTTTAGTGATCTATTTTGCAGTACTAAATAAACACTTTAAACAATAAACAAAGCGTGGTAAGTCCCTGCGGTCTCCCGGGGAATCCTGCTTATGCTCAGCTGCTCCCAGCTCTGGCCACGACTTGGCTGGACATCACAGATGTTGATGTGCCTCTGCAGGAGCCACAGGTACCCGGTGCAATGACTCCCCTGCCTGTGGGGAAGGACCAGTCCAGTCCATCTGGATTCCCTCCCCCTGCAGGCGCTGCCAGCCTGGAGTTGTTCAGATCAAGGCATGGGCTGTCCTTGTCTGATCCCAATGAGTTCTGCCCTGTGGGTTCTGTGGCCTGTGGGAAACGCTGCCCTGGCCTCACATCACGACGTGGGCAAAGCTGTGTGGTCTCTTACAGTTCTGTACAGGAGACTGAGGCACTGCCCTGGCTGGATGAAGCAATCCAGGGGTTGTGTGCTCACAGCACAAAGATATCTCTGGATAAAGGGCATCTTGTATCCAGTGAGGGCCCTGGGCCCAAGCCAGCTGCCTTCTCGTGGGAGGAGAGCTCGCTCTGAGCCGTGGCAGGGGAAGGGCTCATGCCTGCTTGAACTCACTGAAGATGACTCCTGGTGGAGAGGGAAGCTTCTCTAAAGGGAACTTTCTTTCTGCCTTAATTTTTTTCATGAGTCACCTGCTTTCTCAGTCAGGATCGGGCTGTGTCATGCAGCTGTGGATGTGGGGCGGAAGGGCAGATGTTAATGGTTGCAATGGAGCCTGGTGTCTGGTTTGGTTAGACAGGGGCTGCAGGCAGAACTTGTTGTGACTGAAAAGTGAAAGACTGCTCCTGGGAAGCAGGATGAATTTCCTGCAATATTTAGGGTGCTGGAGCACCTCCCATACAAAGAGAGGCTGAGAACACTCGGGCTGTTCAGCCTGGAGAAGAGAAGCTGCATGAAGACCTCAGAGCAGCTTCCAGTGTCTGAAGGGGGCCTACAAGGATGCTGGGGAGGGACTCTTCATCAGGGGCTGTAGTGGTAGGACAAGAGGTGATGTATTCAAACTGAAACAGGGGAAGTTAGGGTTAGATTTTAGGCAGAAGCTCTTCCCTGTGAGGGTGCTGAGGCGCTGGCACAGGGTGCCCAGAGAAGCTGTGGCTGCCCCATCCCTGGCAGTGTTCAAGGCCAGGTTGGACACAGGGGCTTGGAGCAAGCTGCTCTAGTGGAAGGTGTCCCTGCCCACGGCAGGGCTTGGAACTGGATGAGCTTTAAGGTCCCTTCTAACCCAAAGCAGGGGGTTTCTATGCTTTTGTCATGTTTCTGTGAAGCCACAAAAGGGCCTTGCAGTGATAGGGTAGATGGATGCAGGCCGGCTTCAGGCTCTGCTTCCAGCCAGCTGCCCACTGAGCCCATGGTCCTGCCCATGTTCTGGCTCCTCAGGAGCATCCCTGTGAGCAGAGGGTGGCTGGTAGTGTTAAGGGTATCCCCTAGTCAGGTTTGCTGGTAGCCTTTTACCTCCAAACTTGTAACTGAAAGTTCAACTTGAGCCTTGCTGAATAAAACTGTTGGTCTATAGTGAAGGCCATCTATAGCAGGACAAGACCCATATCCCCCAGGCTCCCCCAGGGACTGCAGCCACCAGCATCGGATGCTTCCCCACTCCAGCCCAAGTCCTGCCCTCAGCCTGCACCCAAAGGAGCCAGCCCGATGCAGCTGGGTTTGTTCTTTATTTGGCATGTCATGGAGCAGCAGTGAGAGCTGGGCTGTGCTTGGCTCTGCTTGGCAGGTGATGGCTGGAGCTGGAGCGGGTTACCCGCACACTCAGTATGCATTGGGCAGCTGGGAGCAGTGCTTTGGGTGCTGGAGCAGCTGCAGGGCCTGTTCCTTGAGCGATGGCTGAGCAGATGCTGCCAAATGCTGACAGGACTCCTTTGGCTCCCATGGGTCAGGCGTATGCTGGATTCTCTTGCTGGCCAGTCTGAGCTTTGTAAGTCCATCCCTCAGGAGAGGCTTTCACCTCTCCAAAGTCCCCAGAGTCCCTGATGCGAGTCAGTGTTTGCTGGTTGTCAGCTTTATGACAATGCCGAGTGCAAGCACTGCCATGGCTGCGGCCACTGCTAGCCCGCGCCGGATGATCAGCGCCTTGGTGATGGTGGCGGTGGCCGGAGGGGATGTGGCAGGGTTGGATTGCTGGGGCTCCAGCTGGTACGTGGGTCCCTCCACCCTGGTGATGCCCATGAGTGTGACACCGTTCTGTGCATCCACTCCCGCTGCAAGGAGAACAGGGCATTGAGGGCTCTCCTGAGTGGGTTTTGTCTGAGGTTCTAAAGCATATTATGAGCAGCACAGAGCATGGAGATCTCCAGCCCTTAAAGGAGCTTCAGTCCACAAGGTAAGACCTGCCCACATTGTCCCCAGCTCCAGGTTGTCCTCACACCCAACTCTGTCACGCTCCCAAGCTCAGCCCTGTAATTACTGTTTATCCAGTAACGAAGGGCTTGTCCCTGGCTTATGTGAATCCTTGGGGACCCTTCCTGGACCCAAACCCACCACTGCACCCAGTGCCCAGCTCCCCCATCCCAGTGTACCCAGCTCCTGGCCATACCTACACACCCCTGCACCGCCGCGGCAGGGGGGTAAGTGTGGGACACTGAGGCCAGCCCCACACCAAAGGGAATTTCTTTGCAGGAGGGTTCAGGGCCTGGGTTCGGCTCCTCCATCGGTGGCTGGCTCACTCCTGCACGGTGCCGAGCCTGGTGGAGGGAACACTCTGGGTTTAGCCAGTGGTGCAGAAATGCCCATGGAGCAAAGCCAGCATGTCACCTCTCACAGGGTTAAACTGGCTGGAAATGGCACTGTGCAGCTGAAAGATGCCCGAAATGAGAGGTGCTGGCTGGGGTACAAGGTGATGCTCGGGGCTGCAGGGTTGAGGTAGCTTGGGTGACCCTGTCTGCTTTGTGCTTCATATCCCCAACCCAAGGTGGCACAAGGTGCAGAGGGAAGGAAGCTGTTGTGTGTGGGAGAGAGCTGAATACAGTGGTCACAGACCATTGGATTTTGCTGGAGACACTGGATGACAGCCCTGGGCAGCTCTGTCCCACAGGACCATACCCATGATGCTGTCCCATCCCACTGCAATCCCAGCCACACCACTAAGGACTTTCCCACAGGCAGGGCACGATGCTGTGGGTGCACAGGTTACCTCTTCTGCTGCCTTCCTCCAGTCCATGCGGGAGATGTAGACGATGAAGCAGGTACAGAGGATGGAGACACAGACAAGCATGCTGAGCCACAGGCCTGTGAGGGCAAGCTGGAGTCAGCCGGGTGCCGCAGCCGGAGCAGCACAACAAGGGTTCATCTCGGGACAGCGAGTCAAGAATAGGTGTCACTGAGGTCAGCAGGGACACAGGGGTGGGGTGCCCATGGGGGCTGCTGTGGGGCTGCCTGGCAGACCTGGCAGGGGATGCTTTTTCCCAGTACAGTTAAAAGCTCTCAGTAGTTGCAGGGGCCATCCCAGTCCACCCCATTGTGCCCAGCCTCCAGCAAGACAGAAGAGGGTCGTGGTGATCCATCAGTGGAGCTGGGGGGGAGCTGCTGATGGGATTTGGGGCAATGCAGAGCTGTGTGCCTGGGGGTTGGTACCTATGACTCCGATCCTGGCCACGAAGAGCAGCACGGCTCCCAGGGGCAGCCCCACACCATAGTAGCACACGGCGTTGAGGATGGCACCGAATTTCTGCTTGCCTATGCCTCTGAGCACCCCGCTGCAGGCACCCTGCCAGGGACAGGGACAGGGGCTGGGGCCAGGGCTGGGAGAGCCGCCTTGGCCCAGTTCGGGGCTCTGCAGCTCCCTGCCTCTGCCCCATGACTTCGATGTCCCTGCTTGGTCCTGTGATCATCATCTTTTTATGCCCTCAGTGTTTTCTAAAGGGTGACCGACCCCAGGAGCAGTGCAGGGTCCTGGTGCTTGTGCTGGTGTTACCCACAGCCTGAGGGACCCTCAACCAACCAACCTGTGATGGTGCTGCTCAGCACCGAGGTTCCCTACTGAAAATAGCAGGGACTTACACACACGGCTTCAAAGAAGTGGAAGACAACGTAGACAGGCATGACCCAGGCCACCAAGTCAACAATCTCCCTGGGGACAGGGAAGATAACGATGGGTTTGGGGAATTGACCTCCACGCACTAAGGGTAGGAGTCAGAGGCACTTACTTGTCCCGGGTGAAGATGTATCCCAGCACATCCTTCGTGGTGGCTAAAATGGCCCCCACAGCTATGCAAAGCACCACTGAAAAACAGAGCAAAGCACTGAGCTCAGGGGCAGCCAAAGGGAGAGAGGAGGGGGGAGAAGAGGACACAGAGGACTGCAAATGCTCCTGCTGTGCCTGGAAGGAGCCCTACAAAGGCTTCCGAGCCCGCTGATGGCCTGACCTGTGCAGACCAGGCTGGTGGTGGAGGATCTCTTGGCTGTGTCAATGTCGCCGGCACCCAGCGCGTTCCCCACCTGCACACTGGTGGCCGTGCCGAGCCCCAGGGGGATCTGAAACCACAGGGCTGAGGCTCATGTGTGCATCCAGGTAATGAGGGCATCACAGTCACAGCGGAATGACCGCCCGGCAGAGAGGGCAACAGAGTTCAGGACTTAAAACATCTCGGTAAGAGGGATAAGCAGGATGGGGAGAGGCTTAAATGCAGAGGGAGAAGAGTGAGATTTGCTGGAGCTGGTTTTTGCTGGGTGTTCTGCCCAGGACAGTCCCTACGGAGTGTGCTCTGGAATAACAACCCCTAGCCCTTACCATGAAAGCAACAACGGACACCTCGTAGATGATGGACTGGGCAGAGAGCTCTATGACACTCAGCAGGCCTGGGGGAGAGGAGAGGGGCAGCGCTGGATGTGGGTGCCCAGAGAAGAGCCGCAGCTCTGCTGCAGGCACTGTCACAGCCTGTCTGCCTCCCCGCAGCTCCCCCTCTCCGCTCACCTATCAAGAAGCTCCCGATTTCGTAGGTCCACCACTCGATGCACATCATGAGCATGCTGGGGATGGCCAGGGAGGTGAAGCTGTCCCACTCCAGCAGGCACTCGCTGGACCAGCCTGCAGAGAGGAGAAACATCCCTGGATGGATGATCAGAATGGCCACAGGTTGCATCCTTGAGAGCACCCGAGGCAGCTGTAGGTGCCATTCCTACTTGCAGAGCCACCAGGGCAATGCTCCTGAGCACCATAGGACCTCCAGCAGTACAGCATGCACATATGTGCTCTGCTGACGCCATCCTGTGGGCCATGGAGGGGTGCAACTCTCAGCTCATTCTTCCTCGAGCAGTGGCCAAGGACAACCTCGTGCTTACGTGTGTGCTCATCCAGCCTGAACCCTATAAAGCCTCAGCAGAAAGTTTCACTTCCCCAGAACGAATGTTCCCTGCCCAGCATGGCTCTGCCAACGCTGGCACGTGATGTGCTGCCACCAGAGCAGCACCGTGGTACCGGGGTGCACCACGCTGAGGTTAATATTTCACTGTCAGCACTAACAGAATTCACTGGATAGAAGTGATTGATAGAACATTCATGAACCCTGTGTAAAGCAGGAGCTGGGGGAGCTGCTCTTACCTCCCCAGGTCTTCACATGGAGTTTCCTGCCTATAATATACAGGAACAAGAAAATGGCTTGTGAATATTGAGCCATGGTGTTGGCCCAGGCTGAGCCCCTGCAGAGGAAACGAGAAGGGTTTTGTTGTCATGCTGCTCATGCCTCCCCGGCCTCGGAGTGCCAGAGCAGAACCTCCTCCATGAGTGCCGGATGCTCGGTCGTGCAGTGGTGCTGATGTCTCTGAGAAATCCCATAGGCATTGCCAGGGGCCATATTGTCCCCTCTTTGGGATGCAGGCGCTACTCACGTGATGCCCAAGTGGAACACGTAGAGGAAGATGCAGTTTGCAATCACATTGACGATGTTGCCAATGAACCCGCTCAGCACCAGCGGCCACATGATCATCTGCAAAGAGGAGGAGATGGGGGCTATGGCGCCTTCACAAAAGCTTCAGGAGAGAGGAGCAAAGGTCTCCACCAGCCCCACGCTCAGCAGCTTTCCCAGCCAAAAAATAACCTTTTGATGATGTTGCCTGCTTGGGAAACAAGTGTGCTGGAGGTAAACCCCTGACATGGGGAAGTACAAAGGGAGGTCCATCAGGCAGGTAGGTACAACTGGCTGTGGGAGGGGGTGATCCCCAGGGTCAGAGCTGCTCAGGGGAAGCTGGGCAGCGGTGGGGACAAACACTGCCCCACCATTGGGGATGGCAAGTATGACAACCCTGGGTGCATGGTTGAAGGGAGCCCCGAGTGCTGTGTCTGAGGACTGTGGGACCTACCTGGTTCTGCAGGTATCTTGTCTCCAGGTTATACAGAAACACCGCCTGAAAAGGAGGTTGTTGGATGAGGTGAGGCCAACACTGAGCAGGGGCTGTGGGCTGCAGCGGAAAATAGAAGCAGGCTGCCCAGTCCCCATGTGTGACCAGCATCCAGGGTGCCCACAGGGACTCACCGGGAGAGCAGGGACAAACGCCATCACATAGCGCTGGGTTAACCTGGGGGACACCAGAGGCTTGGTTAGTGTGGGGTGATGACCGTAGCCACCATCCTGCAGCCCCACCATGCTGGGGAGGGATGAAGCTGTGGTGCTGGGGCAGGGGATCACCCAACCTGGAGACCTCGGGGTCCTGGCGGATGAGGATCAGGAGCTGTTCGATGTTGATGAGGATGGCACAGCAGGGGAAGCAGCAGAGCAGCAGGATGAGGGTGGCGCGCTGCAGGATCACCCCCACACGCAGCAGGTTCTTGCTGCCATAGGTCTGCAGGGACAGAGGGTGGCAGTGAGCTCTGCTGCACCGACAGCACACTGGTGCGGGGTGGACAGGGACCACCGTTGGACCCATAACCACCCTAGACTGCCCAAGAAGTATTTGGTATGTCAAGGTAAGCACGGAGCTCCCCATTATGGGATCGCCACTTGGGAACAGGCTTCCCCATCACACAGGTACAACTGGGGACCCTGTGCAGTGCCTGAGCAGCATCAGCCGATGCAGGACAGCCCTGTGTCTCCAGGACAAGTGCCAGCATCTCTTACCCACCTGTGATATCAGGGTGTCACATGCCGAAGACAAACCATAACTTACAGAGATGGCAGTAACATTTATAACCTGGAAACAGGAGTTAAAAGAAAACAAAGAGCCAATGTGAGCATTTGAGACTTTGAGGTAGGAAGAGGGGCTAAAAGGAAAAGTAGGAGTCTCAAATCTCCTCTGTCCTTGTCTGCCTTTGTTCCCGTATCCCGTCCCAGTGTCGGCGGGTGGGAGCTGGTGCCGGGGCAGATGCTTACAGCGATGGCCAGCGTGACAGAGGCCAGCTCGACCTTGCCCAGGTGGCCGCAGAATATGGAGCTGACGAGGTGTATGAGGAAGATCAGCAGCTGGATCAGGATCTGAGCGTGGGGAAGAGAGGAGGCGAAGGTCAGAGATGGAGGTGAGCAGGGGTGGCTGTGCTGGGGGGGAGCCTGCTCCTCCCAGTGTCCTTACCAGCGGTCCCGCCAGCACCAGCAGCTTCTTTGTGTCCTCCCAGAAGTTATCTGGAAGCAGGTGCTGAAGCCGGTGTCGTTTCTTCCCGCCGCTGCCCGGTGTGGGACCGCGCTGCCCAGTGGCCATGGCCTCCCCAAAGCCGTTCTCCTCGGGGAGGTTCGCCTGCTTCATGCTGCCGCTCTGCCAGGGGAGTGGAACAACCCTCTTCTTCCTCTGTGCTCCGTTAAAACCACCCAGGCACTGTGAGCAATGTGTAACCACGGCGGTGAACTTCAGCCGGGGCCGGGTGGGCTGAGCGCATGCTGCTGGCAGCGGGGTGCCCATGGGAAGTGCCGGTGGTGGGTCAGGGCAGGGCACGGAGCTGGGGAGCTGCTAAAGGTCCCGTGCACTGCTGCGGGCAGCGCAGAAGAGCCTGGACACGGGACAAGGCACTTGCTGCCTGCCCTGAGCCAGCGCAGGGGCTGAGCCATCCCAAATCGCACCCAGGAGCCCTCCTACCTCTCTCCTGCTTTGCTGTGGCTCCTCTGGCTGGTGCGCTGGAGGATCCATGGGTCCGTGTCTGCGTTCCCGGGAGCCGGTGCCGGCAGTGGCGGTGCCGCTGTCCGCTCGGCGCCTCTCAGCGCAACACGGCGGTGGCCAAGACAAGCCGCCCTGTTGGCTCCAGCTCTCGGCCTCGCACAGCAGCATCGAGTGTCCCTGGCACCATTCCCCAGCCAAATATAGTGTCCTGCCTTGTCCCGGCACCGGGGAGGCGGAGGGGAGCTGCTGCTGCTGCAGGGCAGACCCCGCTGAGCTGGGCTCCAGTGCGCTAGGGCAGAGAGAGGCAGCTTCCTCCTCTCCCCAGACTCCCATCCCAAAACTACTGGGATTCTGAGCAGGGCAGAACCTGCCACATCCTCCACCAGTGTGGTGGGCAGAGCTGGGTTGATGCCTGTTTCAAGCTCCTTTATGCCAGTCTTTATTATGTGTTTATCGTTATTTATTATATCTTTTCGTTCCAGGAGCACTGTGGGGTGGCAGGAAGGTGCTGTGCACCAGCTACATATGGGATTTACCTCCAGTGATTGAGCATATGCCACACAACTGCAGGTAAGACATTGGGACACATCCCAAGGGGCCTATTGGTAAGGGCAGAGATACGTAGACAGTGCTGCAGTGGTTGCATTAAGACATACAGCGGTTCCTTGACGGTTCTGTAGGGTCGCGCACCACACCACCCTCTCCCACGCAGCTCCCGGGAGCATTCAAGGTGCACAAACCCTGCTTTTGTACCCAGAGCCAGCCTCAAACTGCAGGGCCAGGAGGCTGAGGCTTTGTCTCGTGCAAGCCCATTGTGCAAGCCGCACAGACCAGGCATTCCTCTAACAGCTCAGTCATGCCAATGCCCGGGGTCACGCTCACACCACAGTAACAGCCCAATGTTTACTCAGAAAACTTTACTGTATCAAAAGCCCACCTTACAAAAGTGCAAAGAGGAGTTGCTTTAGGCCCTGTGCCTGCCACACAGCAGGGAGAGCAGGGCCAGCAGCCAGCACCCAACGCCCCAGCAGCAGTCAGAGCAGTGAACCACGTTCCAACAGTACGGGCCTTTCCCCGTGCTGCTTCAACAAGTGGGCTCTGCCATGCCCAGATACTGGCACAAACTGGTGCACGAGGAAACCTGCTATAGGCAGCAAGAGCCTCTGCCACTAGCAAGGGACATGGACAAATGGCTCCAGGGAGCAGAAAACAGGATAGCAGCACAAGGTCCCTGTCTCCTTCCCCAGCCAGCCCCAGGGTACATTCCTGCCTATCACAAGTGACACCCTAATGCAGTGCAGTGCAGGAGAGGAACCAGCTCTCAAGCACTTTCTTCCCAGGTGCTGCATCCTCACCCCCTTTAAAAGAACTCTGCACGTGGGATAAAACATTGTGAGTTAACCAGAAACTGAGCAACGTGACTCTTTACAAGGAATTCCTCCCCCTGCACCATTCTCCTGGGACATCATCACATGCCCTCCTGCTCTGTGTACAGCTCCCCAGTGTCCCTGGTTCTATCCATTGCTGGTCAGGAGCCGGACCAGGATGCCCACCAGCAGGACAGCGACAGCAGTGGCAGCAGCCAGCATGCAGTGGATGATCAGAGTCCTCCACACCACCTCGGGAGAAGCAGGGACAGCAGCAGGCTCCTCCTGCGTGGTGAGCTGGTGCTCAGGCTGGCTCTCGCCTTCAGTGATGCTCTCAGGCAGGACCACAGTGTCCATGTCATCCGTGTCAGTGGAGATGTGGTCTGTGTAACAGAAAGGTGAGTGTTGTAGGAAAGCTGAGCTGCAAAGTGAGGACATCCCTGTCTGATGCTGCACAAGCACTAGGGACAGTATCCTTTCCCAAGGCTCACGGACACTGGGACATGCCACAGCAATGTGGCTGGCAGTCCAGGCTCTTCCCTGGAGCAGCCAGGGTGGTAACAGGGTGTTTTGTACCCCATTACAAAGTGCAGGGGAAGTGCCACTGGCCTGGGACAAGCACCAGGCAGCTAGGCTTGCAGGACAGACACACTGTGAAGGAAAGAAAGGGCTGTGCGGAGAATTCGGGCTCCCTCCCTGTAGTCAGGCCCGGTTACATACCCACAGCAGATGTTTTGTTAGCAGCTGTGCCATTGGAGTTCACATCTTCCAGTTGTTTTTTCAGTCCAGCTCGGACTTGAGCCTGAAAGCACACAAAAGATCTTTGCACTTCTCAGTGTGAGAATCTCCTGCCAGAGCAAGAATCTCCTGCCCAGCCAAGCAAACCTCTTCCTTCCACTCCCCCAAAGCAAGCATGATCAGAACCAAATTGCTCCTCCATTACAGGAGAGGGACAGATCCCATTTCACTTTTGCCTCTTCCCAGAGGACTGAGGCATTGTACTGGGACAGGAACTCCCCTAACACCTTTCAAGAGTTACTAGAGAGAAGAACAGGTCTCACCTCTTCTGCAGCTTTCTTCCAATCCATGCGCATGACAAAAGTGGAGAAGGAAAGGGCTTGCAAAGAGATGCAGATGATCATTCCCACCCACAGACCTGCAGCAATGGAAAGTTACTTCAGGAAAGGCCTGAGGAAAGCCTGCTTTTGACAGCCACTGTCAAAATGCCCAAGGGCTTCAGTGGCATCAGATTATTGCCCAGTATCTAACCCTGTCTGGATGGGAGAGCTGCCCTGAGGGGCAGCGAGAGGAAACAGGGTGCTCCTATGCTGGGAGCAAGCCTGGATTTACTGGGCTATCTCAGCCCTGATTTGATGGAGGTTACTCAGAAGCTGTCTCAGGTAAACACTTCAGTGTGCAGTCCAGCCCCACTGATCCAAAGAAAGATCCAAGCACAAGGGCAGAGCTCAAGGCACAGGATTTGGCCCAGCAGAAGCAGTGCTGGCAGCTCATCCAGTGCCAAGTAGAAGGAGGACACACATACCTAACACCCCCATCTTAGCTGCAAACATCAGGGAGATGCCGATGGGCAGGCCTATGGTGTAATAGCCGACAGCGTTGGCAATAGCACCCAGCTTCTGCTTCCCTGTGCCCCGCAGCACGCCGCCACACGTTGCCTACGGAAAGCAGGCAGAGGAATCAATGCACTGGACAACATGTGCCATGGAAGGTACCATCACAGGGGTATGGCACAGCCCTCTGAATAGGGGAACCCACAGCACTGTCCCGCAAAGCCAAAGGAGACCAAAGCCACATCACAGGGCACATGGTGCAGGGCTCCTCTTTTCCAGGTGCAGGATATGGAGCTGTCTGCAGACACTGAGGCATGCCAGCAGACCCCACAGTGCTTTCCATGCTGCCTCGGTCCCCTCCCAGGAACATAACAGGAGGAAACAGGATGAAATTACTGTCTAACAAGTTGTATGAGCACTGCCCTTATGTTGGGAGTACCTGGTATCTCTCAAATCCAGCTTCTCACTCGTGTTGCTCTCACAAGATAGTAAAAAGCTAAAGCCTTGCCAGGGAAAAAGAGGGAGAAAGAACTGGGTCATCTGCAGCAAAGCCAAAGGGCAACCACAAGCACAGGGGATACTGAGGTGCTATAGGAAACACAAACAGCTGCTTTGACAGTTATCAGCTTGCTTCTCTGTCATTTTAACAGATCAAAAGTGAGCTAGAGGCAGCTTTGCACTCTCCATTGTACCCCAACCTACAGAGAGGAATTGCTCCACGTGCTGGAATACTCACTGCTGCTGCATCAAACAAGTGGAACGGAGCAAAGATGATCATCACTTTGGACACCAAGATAACGATCTCCCTGTTGAAAAATGTACGTACTGGTCAGGGAAAACAGCACAGCCTGGTCCCAAGGGAGTCTGGTTCTGACACATTTCCCTCAGCCAGCTGCAAAGCCTGATCCCAGCCCATGAGACTTGAGTGGATGGGTGCAGCTTGGGTACCACCATGGCGGCGTCCCAGTGCCAGAAACATCTGTGCTGCCCAGTGGGGAGGAACATGTTTACCAGATGGGGGTTTATGAGCTCTGTCAGCAGCTTCTGAGCAGCTCCTCGATGTAAATCACACCCTCCAAGAAGGTAATAATACTCAAAAGAAAGCTGTTAACCTACTTGTCATTGGTGAAGATGTATCCCACCACATCCTTCAGGGTTCCCAGCAATGTTGCAACCACCACAGCAAAAACTTCTGAAAGAAAAAGAAATAGTCAAATTGCTTGCCTCAAGGGCAGGGGGTCCTGCTCCTGACCCAGACCTCAGGGCTTCATGTGATGGGGACTGGGCTTGGCTGACCTTCAAGTGACACCACAGTAGAGGAAAAGTCTGTTTTCCTCACTTTCTCCCCAGATACTCCCTCTACTTTCTGGACGTGGAGGACACAAAGCTAAATTGCATTTTCAACTATCAAAGCCTTTGTACCAAGTTCCTAACAGAAAAAGAGAAGCTAGGGTCTCACCTTCCCCAAACAGAGTGTCCAGACAAGTAGGTCTGGGTTCCTATGGGGTGTCCCCATCCCTGTGAGAGGGGAACTGAACCTTCTGCTAATAAATGCACTTTATTACACTCTGCAGGACCTGGGCTGACCTGTGCACAGCAGGGCAGTGACGCATGAGGTCTTGGCTTGCATCACATCCCCTGATCCCAAGGCATTGCCCACTCTGACGCTCGCAGCCACGCTGAACCCCAGAGGCACCTGAGAAGCAGGAGACAAGGAAGAGGTGAGTGGCAACAGAACCTGCAGCAATCTTCCTCTTCCCCAGTAGGGAATTTGGGGCAAATAGGCATTGCTGCAGCAAAGGGATTTTCCATCTGCAGCACACCTGGGGATATACAATTGTTCTGCAGGCCTGGGAGTCATCACCTGCCTGGTACCAACTCCAGCTTCCCTCCCAGCCTTGATCTTAAGGACCACAGTCTGGGGGCTTCCTTCCAGGCTGATCTTTTACACACCCAGCCCTTACCATGTATGCTGCAGAGGAGAGCACATAGATGACAGACTGTGCACCCAGCTCCACCACACTGAGCAGACCTGGAAAAGATTCAGCATTTCCTTCATTGGGTCAGAATTCCACTCCTCCTGACAAGTAGGCAGTGACTCCAGGGTTCCCATCTAACATCCTGCAGAACCAACCCTGCATGCGAGGAGGCTGCCTGCAGGACACACTCAAGAGGCAGCCACCAGAGCACTTCCATGGCTGGAAGATGACCTGTTGAGCTAGGGGGAAAAAAGAGGATTTGGACTCACCTGCCAAGAAGCTTCCAATCTCAAAGGTCCACCATTCAATACACATCATGAGCATGCTGGGCACCGCCAGCCAGGTAAAGGAACCCCAGTCCAAGAGACAGTCCTTGGACCAACCTGCAATGAGGAGGTGAAGCAAAATGAATGCATGTTCTCCCTTTGCTGCTGTACCATGTTCTGTTCCTGAGACAGGATGATCAACAAGAATATACTTGGAACTACAGTAAAGGCCCTGAGGACATGGCTGCAGCATCTTCCTGCTATGAGGGAATGGTAATCCCTTTGTCAGTTGCTGGTGACAGTGCCAAATCCTCAGGGTCAGATACTGGTATTTTGAAGGATTAAGCTATGAACAGTACCTCCCCAGGTCTCCACATAAATCTTCTTCCACCACACGTAAAGGAAGAGGAGAATGGCCTGGGAGTACTGAGAAACAGTGTTAGCCCAGGCAGAGCCCCTAGGGAGAGAGACAGGCAGGTCAGAGGGTACTAGAACCGGGCACTCAGGATACCCCAGCCCCTAGCAACCCCCTGCACCCAGGGAGAGGCTGCCACCAACCTCTGCTCACACTTACACCAAGCCCAGGTTCAGTGCATACAGGAAGAAGGCATTCATGACCACATTGAGGAGGTTGGCTGCAATCCCTGTCAGCACCTGAGGCAAAATGATGGCCTGGAAGCCAAGAAGGAACTTTGGAGTTTACTGCCCCAACACTGCCCAAGCCCCATCCAGCAAACACAGGGGAGACCTACAGCAGTGCCCAAGGAGAAAGCCTAGAAGGCAGCTCCTGTTTCAGGTAAAGCTGGATTGTGTTAGGCATGCAGAAGGGAGTTGCAGGGCTCAAGAACTGGTGCAGTCAAAATGCAGAGTTGGGAGGTAGCAGTGGAGAAATGGAGCAATTCCCATGAGCTCTCCCTGCCCTGCAGGGCTGGCTGGGGACTCTGCATCACACACTCCTCAGCCCATCTCTCCCCAGATGAATTTAGATGCCAAGTTTTATGCATGTTCCAGAGCCTGGCTACTTATACCATACCTGACTTAGTAAATATCTTGTCTGCAGCTGGTACAGAAACGCCGCCTGCAAGAGTCAAGATTCATTTCATCAGTATCACCACACGGATTTGACTGCCAGCTACCATTTAGCACTCACAGATGGGTCCTTCCCTCAGCTCCCCGTGCTGCCCAACACCCTGCTCCTGTGGTCTGGGCTGCCACTCAAAGCCAAGAGTAGCAAAAGGCACCTTCCATTCCCACTAGAAAGAGAGATCAGTCTCTAAATGGGAATCTCCTGTGCTTCCTCATCAGCATGAAGTGCCTGGAAGCCTTGGAGGAAAGGATTAACCCATAGGCCCTTATTCCCCAGGGGTACTACTCTGAGCCAAGAGCCCAGCAGCTATGAGTGTGTGTGAACAGCTGTCGTGGTTTAAAACCAGGCAGAGGGCTCGTTCACTCACTCCCCCCCCCTTCTTGCCCTCCCCCTACTCCCGGAGGGACGGAGACGAGAATCGAAAAGAATGCAACTCCCACGGGTTGAGATAAGAACAGTTTAGTAACTAAGGTAGAACACAAATCACTGCTGCTACCACCAATGATAACAGTGATAAAGGAAATAACAAGGGAAGAGAATACAGCACCTCATCACCAGCCGACTGCCAGCTCGCCCCCCCAGCCTGACCAAGCTCCAACCGATACCTCCTCCAACCCTGCAGTCTTAGCCCTTCTGGCTAACTCCCAGTTACATCCTGGGCATGACGTGCTGTGGTATGGAATACCTCTTTGGTCAGTTTGGGTCAGGTGTCCTGCCTCTGCTTCCTCCTGGCTTCCCCTCCTCCCTGGCAGAGCATGAGGCTCACAAAGTCCTTGGCCAAACCAAAACATCGCTATCAGCTCTGTTCCCAGGCCAAAAGTCAAAACACTGCACTGCACCAGCCACCAAGAAGGAGAAACATGACTGCTACTGCTGAACCCAGGACAACAGCAAACTGCAGGCTTTATCTCAGAGCTAAGAGTGGGCCCTGGAGCCCTTGGTTCCAATGTCCATCATTGGTTATGTGTTGTGTGGAGATGTGGCCTGCAGTAAAAGCCTTTGCACAGCAAGATGAAAGACTGCATGTTTGTTGGTCCAGCAGCTGCTGGCCAACGCACATCTGTTAAAGCCCAAGATCAAGGAGCACATTGCAAAACCCTCACTATGCTGTTCTGTGATCCACACAGCAAAGACCCTCCCACCCTTCCCCTAATGTTACTGAGGGATGCAGAACTTCTAACAGCTTTAGCAGCAACTTACAGGAAGTGCTGGAATAAAGATCATCACGTAGACCTGAGTTAACCTGGAAAGACAGTTGTTTCCTCAGTTAATAATAGAGCAAAGCAAGAACCAAGCCAAGCAGCTTGCACTCAAGCTCCACAGAGCCTTGATTCCAACACCACATGGCAACCCACCCACAGCCAAATGCCTCACCCAGAAGGGCTTTATCTGACTGCTGACCTGGCGACCTCAGGGTCCTGTCGGAGGAGCAGGAGGATCTGCTCGGTGTTGACGAAGAGCGCCCAGCAAGGGAAGCAGCACAGCAGCAGGATGAGGATACCCCTCTGCAGGATGGTGCCCACCTGCTTCAGGTTCTTGCCACCATATGTCTGAGTCAGGAGAGAGGACCAAGGTGAGTGTTACAGGGAACCAAAGGGTCTGGGCAAATGCTCAGGACCCAGGGCAGCAACGGGCTGATTAAATGCATTTCCCATGCCCTGCAGTGGCTAATGCCACTAATGCTGGTTGGGTGTAACTGGCTCTCAGGTGGATTGCACCATCCCTCTGCTACCCAGGCATGACCCACAGCTCCCTGGGGGAGCTGCAGGAAGGGAGCAGGCTCCAGCCAGGTATCTGTAGCCCCATGCTGTCTGGAAGCTGCCATCCTCCCACCCTTTGTGCCCAGATCACACTGCACAGGAGGTGAGACAACACCAATCAAACCCCACCAGGCAGAAAAGAAAGGGGGAGCTGCTACTGACCTGGGACATCAGTGTGTCACATGCTGAGGCTAAACCAGAACCGATGGAAATGCCTGTCACGTTGATAACCTGGAGGAGAGATAAAGGACTTAGAATGCAAGGGAGGGTGACAGGTCACAGTTCTGCTATGAGTTTTTGGGAAGATTTCTATTTCTCAGAATAACATGATCTTGTTACCCAAACAGTCTTTTCTCGCTTTTAGTGTGGAAAAGAATCCTCTAGCAAGGGATGAATATCTAAAGGGCCACAAACAGTGCTGCTCCTAGCCACAGTGCTGCTCCTAGCCACAAACAGTGCTGCTCCTAGCCACATGTGCACACCTAGGTCTAGCGGGTCCAGAGAGTTGGTCACAAGATCCAGCCCCCTGTCCCCTTCTACTGGCACAGGCACCCACTGCTCCATTCCTATTTCCTGCCTGTGTTCAGGGCAAAAGGAAGAACAGTTTGGTGGATGGAATGTTTGTACAGGGTCTTCACATACACATTCCTACAGGTTTTGGTTTGTTTTTTTTTCCTCTTTTTTTACAGTGACACATAAATCATGTTTGAAATCAGAGTAATACGTACTGACACAGCCAGCGTCACAGCGGCCAGCTCTGCTTTCCCCAGATGGCCACAGAAGATGGAGCTGACCACGCTGATCAGGAACCCCAGCAACTGGGCAACAAACTAGGATGGGAGGAGAAGGAGATGGTGAGATGAGGACCCATTAGCACTTGAGGAGCATCACCCCTGCCCCAGGAGTCAACTATGAACAGTCAGGTTTCCTACTGCTTGTAGGCTCTGCTCTCCTGTCCCTGCTCAGCAGCACTGCTGGGGTAGAGGAGCCAACTCTAGAACTGTCAGTGACTTTGTCTTTCAAAGCAGATCTCTACCTGCCCTGTGGTATTTTGGTGCTACACAGCCAATCTGCCCTATGACCTTGTTTGCGTGCAGCTTAACAGCTTCACTAGAAATCCTCTTTTCTAGGATGAGGGATGCATAGTGAGGGAACATAAAAACTCCCAATGCTTTTCCACACTTCTGTACAGCTGTGGAAAGCTCTCCTCCCAAACTGCAATGTCCTCTCCTCCTGCAGAGACATCAAGTCCAGCTTGTTCCTCCCCAGGGGCTACAGCAAGGCCTAACAATGCTGTAGCAGGGATTGCATGCCAGACCTCGTTTCCCCTGACCAAGAGGATGGCCTTCTTACAAGCATCCACAGCACAGAGTCATGGCACAGCTAGAACCAGATAGTAGGAGTTAGAGATATTTATACCCACTGAGGGGTGGGCATGGCTGGGGACCATGCCCACGGTCTGCTTATGCTCCTTTCCACCCAGCAGCTGACAAGCCAAGAGCCCAGCACTGCTGGAGAACCAGCTCCTATGGGATCAGAGGAAGAACAGAACAAACCCTTCTCCTCTCCAGTCCTCCTGCCAGGCCCAGGCATGTTTGACCTGCTGCTGTGAGTACTCCCTGCAGGAGGGGTCTGTATCTCCCTGGTTGTTCCAGTGCAGGGGTTGATGTGAAATGATCATTACCTGTAGGTTTGGTTTTGAGGTTATCCGTACACACAGAGAAGCAGGCTGTGCCACAAGGGGAATGGCCGAGAGAACTGAGCTAGTGCTGGTGTGTTCAGCCACAGAAACGGAAACCCATCTGTACTTCCTCTGCTGCCTGATCACAGCAAGTCAGTGCTGTGATGCTAGGGAGGACACCTCTGGGAAGTTCACAGTTGGTACTTATTTACAAGGTAGAGTAGAAGATTAAAAGCACACAACTTCATGTGCAATGAATTCAGACTGGGGCTGTGGTGCACGCTCCCCAAAACGTGCTCAGTGCTGCACCATCCATCCCTGATTGCCAAAGGACGCATCTCCCTCCAGACAAACAGCAGTCCAGGGTGGACTTCAGGACCCTTGGGTACCTCTGCACCCCGAGTCTGCTGAAGGGCTGGCATCAAGCAAAGCGACCTGCTGTCACCCAAGGGGCACACGGCGGTGCCGGGGCTGCACCCTGGCTTCACAGGGTCCCCTTCCCCGAGTCCACTGCTTTTCCATAGCCGCGCTGCCACGCGGACCGCGCTGCACAGCACCAGGAGTTCCTGTGGCGAAGCAGCAGCACTTAGATGACAGTTAAGGAATAAATGGTGGCATTCGACCTCCCTTCAGCAGCGGGCATGGGCTGCGGGCGGCAGGGACCGGGCCACGGAGCCGTGCTGGGGGCTGAAGGGAAGTGATGCGGCAGCCGCGCAGGGCTCACCCCGCGCGGGGCCTCGAGGTCTCCAGCTCAGCCCGGGCTGCCCGGGGTCCGCTGCCGGGCTGCGGGTGCCTGAGCCCCGCTGCGATCCCCGGCCCCTCGCCGCAGCACCGCGGCCGTTTCCTCCCGAGCTGGCGCAGCTCCGGGCCCTTGCCCTTGCCCGTGCCCCGTGCCCTCCGCCACGGCTCTCACCACGGGCCCCGCCAGCCGGGCCAGCTCGCAGCTCTCCCTCCGTATGCCCGCGGGCAGGAGGCTCCGGGCGCCCCGCAAACACCGCGCTGCTGCTGCTGCTGCTGCCGCCATGGCCCGAGCCACGCCGCCACGGCTGCTGCCGCCGCCGCCGCCGCCCGCCGTATGGGCCCAACTGGGACCGCCTCCCCGCCCCCGGAGCCGAGGGGCTGCCGCTGTGGGCGGTGCGGGCCGGCTCGGCTCGGCCCAGTGCTCGCCGTGCGCGAGTTTAGCGCTGGGCAAGCCCTAAACCAAGCGGTGGGATGTCCTCCCCCGTGCTCGGGCTGCGGGTCGGAGACACCCCGTGGGCAGGCAGGAGCTGGGGATCTCCCCACGTGTTGGCCAGAGCCAGCGCCCACCGTGGGGTCTGGGGGGATGGGGAACCCCCAACGTGTGTTGTTGAGGAAACTGGGGTTTGCTTTCGGCAAGGAGGGACCCCCCTGTTTGGTAATTGGCATCTAAATCCCTTCTATTCATTGGTTATGGGATGGGGACCCTCTGAGTATCCCACACACGTTGATTAGGGACCAGGGGCTCGCCAGAGACCCCCAACCCAGGTGGTGGTTAGAGGCTGTGGACCTCCTTGTGGGGTGATGGCTTAGGACCTGCCATGTGCTGGCTGTGGGCTGAGTCCCCTAACACAGAAGCCTGGCAAAGGCACATCCTCCAAGACTCAGGGGATGTTCCCTCTGCCATCAGCATTTCGATAATGGTGAGGGGCAGCTTGCTCTGGGAAGCCTTCTCCTCTCTTCCATCCACCCACCAGCACCTCATGAGCTGGGGATCCCCCCCGAACCAGGGATTCCCACTTCCCACCACAGTGCTGAGGTGCGGCTGGCAGGGTGGAAAGATTTGAAGGGGGGGCTGCTGGACCCCAACTCTCAGCTTGGCATCTGGCAGGAAGGTTTGGTTTGGATGGAATGTGGTTGTAACGCAACTGAAATTCCACCTAAGTGCAGCTGCTTGTAACCAAGAAGCTGTAACCAAATCTATTTCTAATGCATGGAAAGTTGCAATGGAAAGCAGGGTTTGGTTCAGCTGTATAAATGCTCCCCTGGTGCCTTATAGCTGTGTTGTCACCACGCAGAAATGTAAAGTATTGTTAATATTCCACTTACTCTCTTGCTCCCTGAAGTATAATGTGACATTGTGAAGTACTGTGTAGTAGTGGTGGTGAGTCACAGCTACTCTGGTTTCATGTGCCATAATGAAATTAGGGTATCTCAGAACAAAAGAGCGCCTGCTGCTGTCGCAGCCTGGGCTTGAGGTCTTCCTGATTTTGGTGACAGTTAAGGGAGAAAGAGCAACTTACAAAGCTTACCTGAAGTTGTTTCTTCAAGAAATGCATGTTTCAGCATAGCCAGAGGGTTTTACTCACCGAAACCTTCTCACAAATGAGGAAAGAGCAATGTAAGGTTCAGTGTGAACATATTTTAATTTGGAAAGAGTTTCTTCTTCCTTTGGTGGTGTTCACATCACCATGACCCACCCTGGGGAGCTCAGGTCACCCTGATGTGCTTGGCAGCGGGCATAGACTGAGCTCAGGTCAACACTTAAGGCAGATAGTGTGCACATCTCTGCTGCATCTTCTGAGGGTGGAAAATGGACTGGAGAAATGAAAGGGAAGGTGTCACTCCAGTCTCATGCTGGGTGAAAGTGGCAAGGGTCACGGGTGTTTGCTTCAAGTGGCACAGCTTTGTGCAGGGCTTGGTGAGCTGGGGTTGATGCTTTTCCTCCCCTGGGCAGAGCAGCAGGCAGCTGGGTGCATGTGCTGCCTGCAGGATGGTATTGCAGTTGCAGCTATGAAGAACTAGAAGTAGTTAGCAGAGAACAATGTGTGTCCTCGCTGTTGCGTGACTGCTGTGGCCAGTGAAGGCCAGAGGGTTCCTGCAGTGCCATTATCTCGTGTGGAGGCAGGAGGGAAATGATAAGGCTCAGACGGTGCCATTCATGGTCCTCACACACAGCACAAGTGTGAGTCCCTTTGAAGCTTACTTGTGACCCTGATGAGATCAATACCTGGGGCTGGCAAAGAGGAGGCAGAGACACAGGCAGAAACCTGGGAAAAAGGACTTTGAAAATAATAATAAGCCCTATCGCTTCAGGCGCAGGGGAGAAATATTACCTCCCAGGAGCCAGGTACAGTACACACAGAAGAGTTGTGACTGAAACCCCCCTTGTGTTTTGCTGCTGCTGCTTGAAATCAACTCTGTTTGCTTTCAGAAGAGGTGTTTTGTGTTTCTGTGGTGACATATGGATCCCAATCTTGCTAGGAAGCAGCAGAACAGGACCTGGTCTGATGTGCCCTGTGGTCTCCTCTGTCACTGATGCATCAGCCCTGGCTCTGTTTCTGCCTCCCCACTCTCAGATCAGCCTGTGACTGTTGAGGGCACGTAGGTCGGTGCAAACTTGCAGGCTGAGCCCTGCACTGGTGCTGGATGCTGACACCTTTGCTCCTTCTCTGTGACAGGGATAAAGGTCCTGCCAGCTGCTCAGTGAGATTCGATGGGGCTCGTCTGCTGGCCCTCCCAGAGGGATGGGAAGGGTCAAATGTACCACAGGCTTCGCACGGAGCTGCCCTCAGCAATCCGGATATTAACAGTATTGCGACACCAGTTAGAAGAATTAGAAGGGTCAAATTCCTTCAGAGTGTAAGATCATTGAACTCTGCCATTTTAGATCTTCAGTGAATCTGGGGCAGTGTTTTGGAAGGCTGACACCTTAACACAGACCTATTTAAAGGAGTTAATGTGTGACCAGCTACAAACCCTCTAAAGCAGGCAAATGGCCGCCCTGTTGGAGCTGGTTTTGGCAGCTCCAGTGATGCTGATGTGAATCCAGAAGGAAGCAGCTGAAGGGAGAAGGATTGCAGTTGGCTTGCATCATCTGCAGAGCAGAATTAGGCCCTTTCTCTGCAGGTTGCCAGCAGGATGAGTACCCAGGGTTTTCTCTAGATATGGATGTCCATATTCTGAAATGCAGCCAACATCCTGTTACTAAAATAAACCCCACAAATGTACCGTGTCTGGAACCATTGCGATTAAGAGCTACCAAATAAGAAAACTGTCAGAACACAATGGATTTATGTCAAACGCTCAGCTGTTTGAAGAGTGTCCCTTTCTTTTAAGAGACCTTACTGCTGGCTGATGTCCAGATACCATGGAAAATCCACTCCCCTCTGTAAAATGTGGAGTTCAGGATACAGCTATATTAAAAAATAAAGAGCCTTTTGCAATTATATTGGGTTTTATTTAAGTGCCATACCACAGGATCAGATGCTCAGAGCCATCAGTGGATGCAGCAGAGGGATTTGGGGTTTGTCAACACCAAGAAGAAACCTGAATAGCCAGCTTCAGATAGCTCCCCTTTGTGTGATGATCTGACAATGAAGAAAGTGACTGTATTCTGGAGTAGTAATTGCATTAGCAAAACATGCCAATGATCTTAGACTGGAGTGACCCTTACTGCAGGGTAACCTCTCTAATGGGTAACAGAGGTGGTTTTTCTGTTTAACCGCATGGAAGTTCTCAAGACCATCCTGCTGAGTGACATGGCTTCCCCAGACCCAAGAGAACTGGTGTTCCACTGCTCTCTGTGTCTCCAAGGTATAATTAATCTTCAGTAATGTCAAAAAACATATTGACTAATAATGTCTTAAAATGGTGATGGCTGGTGATGCAGCTGCTGCACTGGAGCCGTTACAGGACCTGCAATTGCACAGCTGCCAGAAAGTCTGAGCTCAGGAACAGGCAGCTCTCAGCAGCCTCTAATCATCCTGGGTGTTCTTATTACCCATAACCTCTATTTTTTGGCATGGACTCTGACATGAACAGGACTATTCTCACCATTATTTGTCTCAGCTCGCTAGTCCAGACATGCCTCTGTAGAAAAGGTTTATAGGGAAGCACGAAACTGATGTTTACAGTAGATGGAATTTGTCCAAAAGGCAGTTGCCTGCTTAAAAAAAAGAGGCAATGAGAAATCTAGTGTCTCAGTGGCACCAGCACGCCTGGCAGACCCTCCATGTCTCTGCATTGCTGCCCATCCGCTGTGGTGTGCTGCTGCCTGTCTGCGCCTTTGCAGCACTGTGTGAGCTGGGAACTAACCTGGGGCTCCTTCTATGTCCTGGAAAGCTGTCTTCCCCAAAATGAAGTCTAATCAGCCTGCTTCTCTCTTCTGTTGGGAAACAAGAGATTTCTTTGATGGCTTCCTTTATGCTGTAGCTTCAGGGTAACTCAGCTGCTGCTGTTTAAAAACCACCCTGAGCATACAAATGAAAGGTCCTGCACCTGGGCTGGTGCAATTCCAAGCACAAATACAGGCAAGGCTGGACCAAGACTGTACCAAGAGCAAACCTGAAGGGAAGGACTTGAAGGTGCAGGTTGATAAGAAGTTCCCCATGGCCCGGCAGTGTGCGCTTGAGCCCAGACCCTTCCCCCAGAGCAGGCGTAGCAAGTCATGGAGGGGATTCTCTCCCTGTACTGCACTCTGGGGAGACTCCCCCTGCAGTCCTCAAGCTGGTGAGCGCCCATACCCACAGCTCGGTACTACCGGCTTTGGGCAGAGGCTTCCCGGTGAAACAGCAAGCACGACCCCAGCTCCACGGGCCACTTCTGCTCCCTCCTCTTGGGCTGCGGCACCGGGCTCCGGAATCGCTGTGCGCGGCCGCCCCGGCAGGGGGCGCTGGTGCTCCGCGGGTCCCGGTGGAGCCGCGCCGGCGGGTGGGTGGAACGGGAGCGCGCCCGGGTCCCCTTCCAGCCGTGCGCGGAGGGTGTATTTGTTGTGTTCCTCGTCGGCAAGAGCCTGATGAACGCTGGGAGGGGGGGACGCAAATCCAGGAAAATCCAAATATGTGGCAAATTCTTGGGCAAAATATTTACTAGATACTTTAGTGAAAAACACAACGTATACTGCCAAAGGCGATGCGGTGTGAAAAAGAGGACTTGGGATGCATTGGAGTTAGGGAAATGCAGATTGGTGCTGCCTTGTAGAGACAAGAACCTGCTTATTAAAAGCCCTGTGGTGTTGTCCTGCTTCTCTAATTCCAGTGTCCCAAGCTGGCTCTCAAATGGGCATCCCGAATCCATGATTCTACTGCATACAGCCAAACATCCCCCATCAACAAGAGCCCTGCAAGTGCCTGTGTGGGTTAACCTCAGCCTGGTCACCCCACACACCATGATGTTGTTGGTAAGAACAGATCCCTCCGTCTATTTTACTGTTCTTTAAGAGAAAGAAATGCTTTTAACTTGTTGTGTACTTCAGCGCATCTTAGTTCTGCTTTCTTTGTTAAAAACAGGGCCAGGCAAATTCACTGCAGACATAAATACTGTTTTTACAAGAGAGTATTTATCTTGCCATATGGGTTGATTGAGTTCAGGGCTGCAGACTTAAAACCCTGCCCTGAAGAGCCCAAATACTTAATTAAGGCAGATAAGGCAGGACAAATAAAACCAAGACAAAACTCCTCTTGCTTTGAACCTCCTCTAGGGAGCAGGTCTTGGCAAAAGAAAAGAGAGATTGTAAAGCTGTAGTAATAATAATAATGATAATTAATTGTATTTATAAAGCATCCCCTAATGGCTCTGAATGCTAGACAACGATTTTCAGTACAACTGAAAGCAGCAACAACAAAAAGCCAAATAAGGACATGTTGTAAAAATAAAGGTGTCTTTTTCAGCAGCAGATTTAAGAGTGCTGCTCTGAGGCTCTTGCAAGCAGTACACGGAGGTGTCCAACCCAAGCACAGCCTTTGCTCCCCCTGTGTTTCTGCAGTGCCCATGGAGTTGTGCATCTCTGTAGAATACATATGGATGCTCCAAACCAAAACCCCCAAACTTCAGCCCCCAAACCCATCCTCTGTTTTCACGCTTACATGTTTCTTGGTGTGTTAGAGTGGAGGATACGTGTTTGCATGCTGAGGTGTTTTCTGGTGAGGACAGGCAGGTCAGGATCTGCAGCATGGACATGCAGACATCAGTCCGAGGTAGCTGAGCCACAGTGAATTCTGCAGGCTTGCAGATTACAAACTTTGATTGCCAAGAGCAAACACATTTTGAAGCCTGGTTTGCATGTCACCGTCTACGCTTTATTTCCTTGCTGTATTCCAGCCAGCCAGACGGTGTAATTCAATGCAGCCAAATTTCCTCGTGTTTACACTTCTGGATTGGCTTTCAGGATTTTCCTGCCTGCCATTGATAAGGGTAAACATTACATTTACACTGGATTTTGAAAACAAAGAAGGAAAATGCTCTAGTTCTGCAGGCTTTGTGAAAGCTTGCTCTACCCTTGCTAACCCCCAGAACTGCCAAGGCCACCACTAAACCATGTCACTGAGGGCCTCATCTGCAGTGCTTGTGAACACTTCCAGGGATGACGATTCCACCACTGCCCTGGGCAGCCTGTTCCAATCCCTGAGCACCCTTTTGGGGAAGAAATTTTTCCCGATATCCAATCTAAACCTCCCTTGGCACAGCTTGAGGCCGTTACTTCTTGTCCTGTCACTCCCTACTTGGGAGACTGACCCCCACCTCACTACAATCACCTTTCAGGTACTTGTAGAGAGCAATAAGGTCCCCCCCGATCCTTTTCTTCTCCCGACTAAACACCCTCAGCTCCCTCAGCCGCTCCTTTGTGCGGGGCAAGGCGAGCTGCTCACCCTCAACCATGGCAGCGGGACGGCGCGGTGAGGCAAGGCCTTCCCCTGCCCAGGTGGGCACCGGCCATATCCCCCACCATCCCTCCTGCCATCCCTCAGCCGGGCGTCGGATGGGCTGAAACCTGGGTGAGGCCCCCGGGGCCTTGGCCCACGGCCTGAACGCTGCCGACCCCGGCGCTGACGGCCGGGCTGGTCTAACCCGCGTGTGGGGAGCCGCGGGGAGCCGGGCCGGGCCGTGCGGGGCGCAGGGCGGCGCTGCCCGAGGCGGAGGCGGGCACGGGGCCGGGCGGAGCGGCAGCGCCCCCTGTCGCGGCTGTGCTGTGCTGGTCTGTGCCGGCGCGGGCTGCGGTGGTGGCGGGCGGAGCGGAGCGGGGAGCGCAGCGGAGCGGGGCGGGATGGCGGGCGCCCTGTCGGAGGTGCTGGGAGAGGTGCTGGTGGCCGCGGACGGGGAGGAGGTGGCGGTGTCGGCGCTGGCAGCCCGCGGGGTCTCGTTGGTGGGGCTTTACTTCGGCTGCAGCCTCGGCGGCCCCTGCGCGCAGCTCGGCGCCAGCCTGGCCGCCTTCTACGGGCGCTTCAGGGGGGAGGCGGCGGCGGCCGGGGGACAGCGCCTCGAGATCGTCTTCGTGTCGGCCGAGCAGGAGCAGCAGCAGTGGCAGGAGGCCGTGCGGGCCATGCCCTGGCTGGCGCTGCCCTTCGCTGACAAGCACCGCAAGGTGAGACCGCGGGGCCGGGCCGGGGCGGGAGCGAGCCCCGGGCTTTGTCTGGGTCCGACGGGGCTCGGCCGGGGCCGCGTGGCGGTGGGCGCCTTCCAGAAAGTTCCCGGGGGGAACCGGAGCGGGCCGTGGGGGGTGTCGGCCGCCGTCCCGCGGGGCGACGCCGCCTCGCCCGGCTCCTCCGGTTCCCGGGGCCTGCGCGCCGCAGCGGGCGGGGAGATGCCGCCGGCTCCGTGCGAGGAGGGGAGGGGAGGACCCTGGCCTGGGGGTGTCGGTTTTAGGGGGGGTCCCCTCAGAGGAGCGGGGACGGTGGGTGAGGGGTGTGAGGAGCCGCTCCTCGGGGCTGGAGTGTGGGAGCAGGGCTGAGGGAAACGGGCCTTGGCGTGGACAGGGTGCCCGTGGGCTCCTGCGTGGGTCTGGGCACAGAAGGGGGCCGTGTCCAGCTGCGGAGTGGTTGAGGAGCGAGTTGGAGCCCGGCTCGTCACGGAGCTGCCGGGTGAGTCTGTGGGATGTCGTTTGCTGTTTATTTAGCACACACTTCACAAGTTACAGCTCCTCATCCGAAGAGTTTCATCTGAAAAGCAGATAACAGACAAAAAGCGCTCTGTAAGACCCAGGCAAGGAAGGCTGTGAGGGGCAGGAAGGCAAAGGCTGGGCTTCCCGATCCCAACAACCTCGCAACGTTGGTAGTTTAAAAGAACCAAGCACAAACCCCTCTTTACAAACCTAATCTCTGTCAGCTATTGAGTACGAATTAAAAAGATGGTGCCCCACAGTGCCGTTTCTAAGCGTCTTTCCGGCTGCTGATCTGAGCGCAGTGGACGGGCATTGTCTCAGCGCTTGGTAAACTCTCTGCTTCAGGAGGGATTGGGATGAAGTCGGGGCCAGGGGGTGGCTGAGCCCCCTCGGGCATACCCCGTGTATGGGATCTGCGAGGCTGTGTCGGGATGAAAGGGACAGTTTCTTCCTGGTCGTGGCTCTGAACCCTCCTCTGCCGGCACTTCGGGCTGTTAATGAGGCAAAGGAGTCATTTAAGGGAAAGCTGGCTGTCGTAGGGCTGCGCCGGGTGATGTCCTTTCTGCTGGGAAGAGGTGTGTGTGGGTTGAAGCCCATATGGCTTTTCTTTCCTCATTTGCTGCAGGTTTTTGGTCACTTAGACCCCTGCAAAAGCTCTTGTGTGTTTAATGCCGTGTACCTGAAGGATGCTGCTGAAGGCCCTCAGTTTGTCCCTTAAGCCCAGACACTTTTAACTGGGAGCTTGCATGAGTGGTCACAGGTTGGAGCCTGAGATCAGCTTCATTATAAAGGGGAGTTGCAAGAGAAGCTTCGTCCTTCAGAGAAATTACAGTTTAATTCCAGTTTCTTTAAACACAAACCCTGTTCCTACGGGGACTTGAAAAGATAGTGGTTCCAATTAGTGGCTAACCATTTCCCTACAGAACCTTTTGGATTATTTAGGTGGTGGGGCTTTTGCTTGACATACTTGCTTTAAAAATTCCGCTGCAATGTAGTTAAATGGTTGAGAAATCATAGAAGTGGGTGGTGGCATTCATTTTACATGCCAGCCAGTACTTCCATCTATTAGATTGCAAGAAAACATGAACTAAAAAGATTATGGGGTCTTAAACTCTTATTTCAAGAAGCTCTGAGTTAGATTCAGGATTATTTTTGTGCAGAGTGTAAAGTAATTGAAGCTCGTGCTGTATATTTTCAAAACTAAGCAGATGTGATATGGCTTTGGAGGAAGCTTAATCTGTGGATAACAGAGAACCTATTTGTAAGTTATAAGGGCAATTATGTCAGGATATCAGATTTCTAAACAGGAGATTTATAACTTGTAGTTCAGGCACTTAGAAGTTCCCTTGTATAATAGGCTGATTTTTACATAGTTGGGTTAATGACCTGACTCTCCAAAAAAGCACAGACTTTCTATTTTTCAGAAACATGCCAGCAGAGGCTGGGAATGTCCAGCGTGTGTTCGGTACCTCCTGGGCTTAATTTACTGTAAAACAAAAGCATTAGAAAAATGTAGGCAGTCCTTTTCAGTTATGGTTCTTGTGCACTAAAGGCTACTCCTAAATCTGATGGGAGGCAAACCCCAGAGAATTATATAGATAAAGGGAAGAAAGGGATCTTAGAGATACGGAGTAGAGAGGGGAACATCGGGTAGGGAGCTGAACTCTGTGCCTCCCCTGGAGGTTGTAGAGCTAGTGTCCTTGGAGGTTTTGGGGCTTGGCTGGGCAAAGCTGTGCCTGGCAGGGCCTGGTGCTGATATCTGCAGGGCTCAAAGATTTCCAGACGTCCCTTCCAGCCGGTGCTTCCTATTGTGGGTTGGTTACCTTATCTACTGAGGATGTGAAAGCTTTGGGGAGAGATGGCTTCCTATCACATATTGGCTGTAGATCACTTTTATTGCTCAGAATTACTGAATAATATGGCTATTACAGTCCTGTTTTCCTGCTGAAACACGTATCACTGTGCACATTGTCTTTCTCAGGTGTACTTTGTGGTTTTTTACATTTTCTTCTTCCAAACTCTGAGCATCAAGTGTAGGTCTTAAAAACCAGCCTCCTTTCTAGGCTTGCAGTAAAATTCCCACAGTCCTAAAAGTAAAATAGCATCTTACTCTTATGGTTATTGGTGAAATGAGTATGAGTTGTCAAAGAAAACAGCCACTCTTTGTTGAATGCTTCAGTAACTCAATAATGCTGGGGTGCAGTTACCAAGGACATAACAGTCTGTGCATCTTGCAGCGATCAGTTGAATTTGAGTAACTTTACCATATAGCAATTTCTGTCTC